TGCTTTTTTTCTGTTGACTGAGAAGCCGTGAGGGTGAGGTGGCCAGACTCGTAATAATCACGTGGACACCAAGTGGGAGCACGTCTGTGGGATTGTGGCTGCGTGGTTTGTGAGCCTGCTGGTTTCCCAGCACTGGGAAGCAGCTTCGTGTCCCTCTGCTGGGTTCCTCGATGCTCCTGTGAGCTCCAGTCAAAGCCTGACCGAAAGCCAGACGCAGTGACCAGAGGGTGGTAGCGCGTTGTCGCGCGTGTCACCCTTCCTTTGACAGCACGTCACCGAGCTTTCTCTCTCCCGTGGTGGTGTGCGTTCCCTCTTTCACACTGGTCCCTAAAGCAGCATGAGTAACCTCAGCTGGTGTTTCAGATTCCCTTGAATTGTCCAGGAAAAATGTTTATTCTCTTAGTTTTTATGATGACTGTGTGTATATAATTACATAGGTGTAGATTTGATTAAAACAATTAACCTGACGTCCTAAACTGCTTGGATGTCTTGAATTCTGGTAACTCAGCTTCCCTCTGCTCTCCCCGCCCTTGCCTGTGTTACAGGGCCGAACGTCAAGGCTGTGGCTACTGCTGTGGAACAAATTTACCCATTCGTGTTCGAAAGCAGGAAGGAAATTTTATAACTCATCACTTAATTGGTTGGAATCCCTAACTGAGCACCTTTGAAAACCTGCTGCATATTGGACTCGAAACAGAAGGAGAACTGGACCAACAGTAATCGAGGAAACAGACTCTGTCGTTCATCCCGGCTACAGTGTGAGCTCCAGGCCTGGCGGATTTCACGTCGGACCTTGCTGTAATATAGAGGAAGTTTACAAGATGTGACGTTGCTGCTTTCCACAAGGACTCTGTTTCTTTCTGCAGTGGTTCTCTTGTCCCGGTAGCAGAGCTGTCACAGTGTGCACTACCTTCAGTTGTTTTGTTGTTGTCGTTATTTTCTTCCAGTTTGAGCTAATGTGTTTTATTTGTGAATAGTCTTTTACATTTTTGTATGCTGAATATGGGCACCAAAGAACCTGTAAAAGTTATCTTTTTCAATTGAATGTGCACAAATAAAAGTTTGGAAAAGATCTTTCTTCATATCCATTCTATAACTTTTATTCCCCATTTTCTATTTTAACAAAAATTGTATTCATAATTCTTTTTTTTAATCTATGCAAGCTTAGACTTTTGCTAAAGTGTGTTGGCTTCTTTTTGAAGTGTATTTTGTAAATATATGCCACATGTGTATATTATCTTTAATGCTCTGTTACCAAATATCAGATAGGAATTTTTTTCTCGCAGATTAAACATAAAAACATGTATATAAATTCTAGGGAACTGGAGTAGAACTTTATAGATTAAGCATAATGTTTTATGTTGCTAATTTAATATGACAGAAAATGTTAAATATCTTTTAAAAGTTACAAAATTGTAGTTTTAAAGAGAGAAACCTCTTACCTACAAGATGGATATGAGAAAGAAGCTGTGATGGGTTGTACCTCATATGTACCTGTGTTATTCTGGGAAGACTCAACTCGGTTGTAGGAAAGTAGTAATACTAGGTTGGTACTCAAGGCTCTCCCAGGAGTCTTGTCGGAAGCTGATACATTGTGCTGTTTTACAAGAAGTGCCCACAAGCTGCCTCTGTGCCACAGTATAATTATAATATAATTCAACTTGAACTTGAAAGCCATTTTGCAAGATATGTCTTTCCCCTTGCTATGTCTTATTTAATGGAGCTAAAGAGTGGCCGTTCAGTGTATGGGATTGCTGCTGTTCAAGTTATAACACATGTGCGTTTGTGGAACAGCGGCTCTTGGGCTCACTGTGAGCCCTGGGGTGGGAACGCAGGATCAGTCTGCAGCTGTGCTCTGCTGCTCGCGTGTAGGAGTTGAGTATAAGCTACAGTGGTTTCACCTAAAAATAAAGCTGAGTGGAGAATCAAGTTAGCTTCTCAGTTAAAACTTAACTGAGACAATATTCCAACACAATCTTCCACTAACACCTGAATTTCCAAAATGGTTTGAAACCTTTGTGGAAAATTGCAACATCTTAACCTCCATATTCTAGTACTATTTCTGTTTTCCTTACCATATTATAAAATCTTGAAAACCTAGCTTAAGCACTGCACTGAACAACACATAACATTTTATGTTTGTTTTTATCTTCTTTCTTCTCGATGCCTTCCCCCACCCTGCCTCTCCCTCATGAGTGAGGGGTAAAGGATAACTTATATTTTCTTTCTTGTGAAAGACTTAATTGTGATTTTCAGACTTCTGTTGTTCTTTTTTTACATTTGTGTTTATTTGCTTCATTTTAAGATCTGGTAGGATAGGTAGCCTCATAAAACATAGAGAATAAAATTCAATGACATAGTTATAGGTTCTAGGCAGACTGTTTTAAAAATTTGAGATGTTCCACTTAGTTTTAATTAACAGTAATAAGTGACCTCCTGTTTTGCAATGTTCACAAAGAGGAGACAGAAGGGGGGAAGAAACGTGATTCTATGGCCAAGGTGCGGATCCGGATCTCGTTAACCTTTTCAGTATTCAAGTGACTGGAAACCAGGTGGATCAGAGCTTATCAGAACAGGACAATCGGACGGTCTGGCTTCAGAGCTGTGGCGGGAGCATCATGTGCAAAGGGTCGTGGGTGACCCCAAAACTTAACAAAGCTGGGGAGAGAGGAGCATGTCTGATGTCTTCTGCTGGCTTTTCACAAGTGCTGTAAATTTTTTATAAATAAAACTGTGAATATATACATACAAATGATAAGTATTTCCCCTTTTTTATTTTTGAACTCAAAACTCTTATTGGGGGTGTATTGGGTGAAAATTAATTTGAAGACAGAATTGTTTAGTTTTAGACTCAGAATAATAGAAGAAAAATATGTTTAAGATACTGAAATCACTGCTGATAAACCTACTAGGTTTATAAACAATGTCCTGCCCATTAACAATGAATGACTAAACCAAAAACTAGCTAAAGTGTATATAGTGTTTGAACTTAAAAGGAAACGTAACAATTTTATTACATATCTTACAATCTGTGATGCTTGGCAAAGAAAAAAATTGGTATTGATTACCTGTCTTGATTTTCTTTTTAAATCTCAGCATATAATTCTATCAGAGATTCATAATAAATTTCTTAAATTGATCCTCTTACAGGACACACTTTCTTTTCTCCTTCCAAAACCAACAAATGAACAGAAGACAGCGCGTGCTCAGACTTGGCGATGAAATGTACTGCGCAGAACTAAGATCTCAAATCTGTCCTCGTGACTTCCCCACCGATTTTAGTTTAGATGGTGCACTTCAGAACTAGGACTCCTAGTGGTTCTGCATCTCTGATGAGACAGTGTCACTACTGCTTACGTAGATGGCAGCCACACCACTCTTATAAGGCAGTGTGGTAGGCCGCACACCTTTACATCAGACGGGGACGGCTTGTCACAGACTAATAGGAAAACTCCAAGCTAAATAAGGGTTTTTGACTCGCAGGATTCTCTTTTCTTCAGGTTAATCATATTTTTGTATTCTTTTTCAAGTTAAATTGTTCATACTTGTACGTTTTTGTGTGTCTTCCATAGCTTATGATATTAGTAATTTAATGGGTTACTACTTAAACGGTTTGAGATTCTTTTTTTTGTTTTTGTGAGGAAGATCGGCCCTGAGCTAACATCTGCCACTCCTCTTTTTGCTGAGGAAGACTGGGTCTGGGCTAACATCCATGCCCATCTTCCTCCACTTTATATGGGACGCTGCCACAGCATGGCTTGACAAGCGGTGCGTCAGTGTGCGCCCGGGATCCGAACCGGCGAACCCCGTGCCGCCGCAGTGGAGCGCACGCACTTAACTGCTTGCACCACTGGGCTGGCCCCTGAGATTCTTGATTGTAGATTTCCTATCATATCCAAATTCTGTTGGTCCAATGCCTCACCAAGTCTTAAATTCAACTGGAGAAACGCAGAAGAGAGCACTCCGTTGTGAGGGCAGAAACCCAAGTTTCAGGTACAGTGGCGTCTCTGTTCCATCACAGAGGAGAATGTAGCGAGGGAGTCGTCCTGGGGTCTGAATGTCATCTGTCAGGTCTGCAGTCACCTAGAGTCACACGATTATGGCCCACACGCCATAACCTGAGGTAGTGATGTTCCTGAGGAGTGCAGAGAGTTGTGGGAAATGGGAGGTCACTATCAAGTTATCGTGAAATCCTTACAAAGAGAATTTTGTAAGCTTGACTTAATAACTCAATCCTAATTGCTTAGAGATTTGTAAATAACCTACTGGCCTGACTCCTTTTTTAATGTTTTACTAACAGCTATTTCTAAATAAATATGGTCCCAGGAATGTCCTTTCTACTCATATTTTTAAAAATGGATGGGAAAATACTTATTTTTCTCAGCTGTTGCAGAATTAATATTTTATAAGACTAACATGAAATTCATAAAAGTAGGATATTTTGCATTACATTGTAGTTCATAATTCATGAAAGAAGCTGTGTAGTTTTCATACTTGTTGAACTGTAATGAGTTCTCACTAAGAACCCAGCCAGGACCCTGTCCTAACCTGGAATATGTGTGCGATCGTCCACATTGTGTCCTGTTCTTATCTACACGAGACCCAGTGCAAGGAGTGTCTTAGTGGGCAAAAGCTGATGAGCTCGTGTTCAGAACCCTTCTGTGTCTGAATAATAAAGCTGGAGCCTACCTCTATACGCATATACCTTAAGGTCAAAGTTCATCGCATCACTAGTCATAGTCTTTCAAAGGCTGCTCTGTGAAAAAGGTGGAAAATACTGAACCAGCAGGTATTTTTTTGAGCTCGTATGCTGCTCAGAGTAAGAAAGAGATCACTCGAAAGCTTGTACCTCATCTACCTTTTGTGGTTCCTTTGGGGGGGGTGGAAATTAAAGATTATCTTTATAATTTCAGGATTTCTTTAAAACTAGCTCCATTACACTGCAGAGAAAATGCAGGAGTGGTTGGAGACGCCCTCCTATGACGTGGTCTTGTACTCCATCAACCTGCGAGGTTCTGAGGCCATTGGGTCTCTGGAGACAGCTGCCCTGGTTGTCCCCCGTCACACAGTTTTTTACACTCTGAGAGCTGTTCCTGGGGTTTTCTTTTTTGAAGCTGTTTTGGCACTAATTCCTCTTGCTGATGACTCATAAAACAAATGTTGTTTTTCACATAGTTCCTGAAAGAGAAAGAAGCATTAGAAAATATCATTCTTAGTTTACAGTACTTGAAAGAAAATGTGCAGGTTACCATTTTTTAAATCACCCTGGGGATTTAATGTTTCAGCTATGCAAAAAAGACGTTTCTATTGCCAAGCTTCGATGTATCGTCAAATTCAGTATACCACAGAACTTTGGTCAGTCTCTCGCAAAGGGTAAGGTGGGTGTCTGACACAGCCATGTCACTCCTGTCTGCAGGGAAGGAGTCCAAGGATGGTATTATGTGGAACTAACAGAGATAACGTCCCAGATCGTATTTCATTTTTTTCATTTCTCAAACTCTACCAATATGCCTATATTTATGTCGACATTGTCTACCTTCCACATTATTCCCTTGTTCCTGCATTAACAAATTCTTTTCTAGAGGATTCTTCCCATCAGCATAAAAACATGCTCTAATATCTTAACATTTATTTTAAAACAAGAGAAGGCCACCTGTGAACCTCCCTCCCTTTCAAATATGTTTTCCTGTAATTGAACCAGTTACTTGAGTGGCTGAAGCGTGCCTGACACTCTGGATGAAGAGGCCTGCTTTCAGGGAGGTTCCGTTTTCATAGAGGAGACCAGCAAAGAAGCATATAGTTTCACATAAAGTGCTAATGAGGAAAGTAACAGGAAAGGAAAAGAGGGACAAAGTTGGGAGCGACTGTCATACTACGGGCATCTCTCAAGAGGTGACTGTGATCAGAAATTGGAGTGAAGTGTGAAGAATGGCAGGTAAAGTGTTTACAGAGAGGCCAGTGTGGCCAGAGCACGGTGAGGACGTGAATGGCAGAGATGAAGTTGGGGGGTGGGTAGCAGCCATAGTAAGAAGTTCGCATTTTGTTTGAAATGTCGTTTGAGCCATAGGGTTTTGAGCTGCGGAATGACAGTTTTTAAAAGATCCCTCTACTGCTGTGTGGAGGATAGACTGTAGAGGGCGGGAGCTGGAAGACCAGTGTGGAGCTTAGTATAGTCCAGGTGAGAGAGAGTGGCTTGGATTGAGCATGGTACTGTGGAAAGTGTCAGATTCATGGTATGTTTTGTTAACAGAGCCAGTAAGACTGACTGATAGTGTAGATGTGGGGTGTAGGATAGCGTGGATGAAGCCTAAGCTTCTGGCCTGAGGAGCCCCCTCCCCCGGCCCCCAGCAGGAGGCTTGTGGAGGAATGTGTGTGTGTGTGTGTGAGTGCATGGAACTGGGGATCAACAGTTGTGTGTAGGCTACAGAGGCCTATTAGACGTTCCAACAGAACATGCTAAGTGGGCAGTTAGATCTGGAATTGGAAAGTCAGGTAAAGGTCACAGCCTGGTGATGCACATTTGGGATCATCAACTTACAGATGGCTTGTAAAGATGAGCATGATCGAAGAAGTGAGTGTAGGCAGGGGAGTGTCTTAAGGACTGAGTCCTGGGCACTACTGTATTAAAGGAGTGGAGGAGGAGGAAGAGGAAGCCAAGGAGACCACGGCGTGACTCTGAGGGAGGAGGGAAACCAGGGTAGGGTGATATTCCAGAAGACAAGTGAAAAAACATGTTTGAAGATGAGGAGCATGAGGAACTGGGCAAGTGCTGCTGGGAAGTCCAGTGATACGGGACTGAGGGCTGACCCTGAGGTGTGATAACTTGAAAGTCATAGTGGCCTTCGGAGTAAGAAAATGGGAAAGAGCGCTTGAGTGGAGTTACTTCAGAAAGACTGGAAGGCGAGGACATGGAGACAGCAAACATAGAGCATTCTAGAACCGAAAAGTAGGGGCAGCAAACAGGTCAGTACCTGGAGGAATTTGAGGTCTAGGGAGGTATTTTGTTTGCAATGGGAAACACTGCAGCTGCGTGTGTGGGGGTGGCGCACAATGATAATCCCATAGAAGGGGGAAATTGATGCCGTACACAGCGCACAAACGGAAGAAATGGCCTTTGCGACAAGACAGAGCCTGTGGGCATAGATGTAGGTAGGTTAGCAGAAGGTGTGGAGGATGAGGTGGTCTCTCTGTTTCTGTTTTCTCAGTGAACTAAAAAAGCAAGGTCATCAGCAGAGGGCAAGGAAGTGGGAAGGAGTGCTGGAGGCTTGAGGGGAGTGTGGGGTGTGAGGTAATCATCTTGGAGAGCAGGAGAGTTACCACCAGGGAAATGCAGAACATTTTGGCAGGCCTTGAGATCCGTGTTCATAAATTTAAAACTAGCCCTGTCAGCATAGTTGTGTGTTTTCTTGAGTTGTGTTCAGCTCCTCAGAGGCAGGGATAACATAAGCTGAGTAACATGGTTCTATCACAGTGAAGTTTTGCCTGAATGATGGCGGGAGAGGGGCAGGGTGGAGGGAGGTGGTGGTCCATGGAATCTAAGCAGGTAAGTGAGGACACGGGGTGGCTGCTCCATGGATTCCAGGTCCTGGTGTGGCTGAAGTGTTGAGTGCGGGTACTCGAGGAAGAGTGGTCCCGGGCTGAGGGGGATGCTGAGAGTGCAGCAGCGATTGGTGGCCACAGTCTAGGGTACGACCATCCCGCCTGCTCCCCTTCAGAGCGAAACCTGAAAGAGTGGACCGTAGCCGGTTCTTGACGAACTTCCACTTTCCCCTCAAACCTCGTCAGTCACCTTCGGTCCTCTCACTACACTGTCTGTGCCTGACAAGCCTGTGGTCACCTCCCTCTTTGTGTTGGCCTCGGCAGCATCCGCCATCGTCCAGTCCCACCTCCTAGATGCTTCTTCTAGTTTCAGTGCCACCTCCTCCTGGCTCCCCCACCTCACTGCTGGCTCCTTTCAGCTCTTTTTGACGCTCTCTTTCCTCTGCTTGGTCTCTAAATGTTGGCGTTGTCTCGGGCTCTGTCCTGGACCTCAGGCCCTTGTCTCTGCTCTCTGACTAGGTGATCTCATCTGGTTCCATAGCTTAGATACCACTTACAAGCTAATGGCCTCCCAAATCTGACCCCAGCCCTCTGTCTTCAGAATTTCAGACGTACATGTCCAGCTGCCGAATAATAATGTATCTCTCTGATGTCTAAAGGACATCTCAAAATTAATACATCTAAAACAGAACTCTGCAATCTCCCCAGCCCTGAAACCTAGTCGTCCTTCAGGCTTCCCAGTCTTACCATCCATGCCATTTCTCAAGCTAAAAATTTAGGTATCGTCCTGACTACTTCATTGCCTTATTCCTATATTCAATTCATTCATTCATTCAATAATGAGCTTCAATTATATGCTAAGGAATTATTCCAGATTCTGGGAAACAACAGGGAACACAATATACAAAACTCCCTGTCCTTGAGGAATTTAAATGGAGCGAGAGCAGACAGACAATAAACCAAGTAAAATACAGACAGCACCAGCTTTGGAAAAGTTGAAGCAGGAAAGTGGATGCAGAGTTGGGGACACGACTGTGATTTTAAAGAGGGTGACGGGAAAGTCTGAAGGAGGTAAAGCAGGGAGACAAGTGGATACCTGGGGAAAGAGAACTCTAGACGGAAGGAACAAATGCAAAGAGCCTGAGTCTTGCACGTGCCTGGTGTGTTGCGGATGCAGCCACAAGGCCAGCGTGGCCGATGAGAGGAAGAGGCGAGACTAGTGGGGTATGTGGGGCTGTGTGGCCCATGGAAAGGCTTTTACTCTGAGATGAGAGCCGCCAGAGGATTTGAGCAAAGGAGTGGCTTGATCTCGTTTAACGGGATCCCTGGCTGCTGTGTCGAGAGAAGACTGGAGGGGACAGAGGGTGAAATAAGGACCAAGCAGGTGGCTATGACAATAAAAAGGAGAGAGACCCTGAGGACTCAGATCAGGGGGTAACAGTGATGGTGGTCAGGCTTTGGATATGTTGAAATAAGAGCCAACACCATTTTCTGATAGATTGAAGGTGGAGTGTAAGAGAAAAAGGGTCAGGGAAGACTCCACAGTGTGGCGAGGGCATGCAGGATAAAGCTGACATCAACTAGGGGGAAAGGACTGCGGGTAGAGTAGGTTTGGGCAGCGTCAGGGTTCAGTATAGAACATGCAAGTCTGAGATATCTGTGAGACATTTGAAAAGACGTGTAGAGCAAACAGACAAGCCTTGAATTCAGCAGAGATATCAAAGCTGGGGATGGAAATTTCGGAGCCAGTGGCATAACGATGGTATAAATGTGACCGAGAACCAGGCAAGGAAAGGGTTACTGAGAATCTGATCACAAACTAACATGGGCTGTCCAATGTTTTCCAGATAAGGAGAAACTAAATGTTCTGGTTTTCAAAAGTTAATGTCCCCATTCTTGCAAATGTTGCCATCTTACAGTGAAACCTACATGTTTGCTGCAAGACCCCTGCAAACTGCTCCAGCCCCAAGCGTCCAAAAGTTACCATGGACCCGTTATATAATAACATGTTCCTTGAACTCGTTATGGAATGGCATATTGCATTGAACCTGTTATGTAATGACATGTTCCTTGACCTTGTCATGAAGTGGCATGTTACATTGAACTCATCATGTAATGGCATGTTGCATTGAACTCATTGTGTAATGGTACCTTGACATCGTTATGTAATGGCTTGCACATGCACCATGATTGGGCCCAGTTGTTACACAGTTGTAACATATCCTCTGCACTCTAGTGTATAAGGTCTCCACCAGCACTAGGCTTGGGGAGACACTGCTTTGGGAGCTATCCCTGGTGTTCTCCATTGCTTGTGCAAACAATAAACTTTTTCTTCACTTACTTCGGCCTTGGTTCTGCTTTTCAGCTCTGCACTCACCAAGAGACAAACCCCTTGAGTTCAGTTACATCAAGGCCATAACTTTGTTTGAGATCAACAAGCCAGTGAGGAGGATAGAGAAGTGGCCAGAGGACTAAGCCCTAGGGCATGAAAACTTTAAGATAGAAAGTAGGAAGATAGGATGGAACCGGCAGAGGATGCTGAGGAGGAGTGACTAGTAGGAGACCACCAGGAAGAGGGTCCCTGAAGGCAGAAAAGGAAGTATTTCAGGAAGGAGGGCCCACTCAGTCAGCCAAATGCT